AACTGCCGAACACCACTCTGCCGCACTATCCCACAGCATCAGCCAATTTTTGTCTCAGCACTGATGCACCTACCATAGACATTGGCGCCATATAAAGTTTCATTAAAATCGTCGAAAAAAAATTTTTTAACAATCAATTACAAAAAAAAACGGCCTGACTTAATCAAGAATTAATTAACGCGATTTCTGAATATTTTTTGAATTTTCAAAATCTTTCCAGATTTTTTGACGAAAATGTAGATGGAAATTTTTTTGCGCTAATCTGCTAATTTCAAAGAAACGGTATCTGAAAACTGACCAACGCGAGTGGATTATCAAGTTTCATCGAATAAACTTTAAATTTTTTGAAATCGGTTCAGCCGTTTTTGAAAAAACGTTGACAAAATATCAAAAAACGATTCACATACGCACATACTTTTTCCAAAATTGTTCTCATTCACTTCAAAATCACTTGATTCGTCGAGAAGACAAATTTAGCAAATCAAATTTTCTCGCAAAAACTTTTCCTTTGAAAAGTTAATTAAAGGAAAGACATTGTGATATAAATTCTCACCAAACTTACTGCAGAAAAAATAACCAACAGGCTGACAAATCAAAACACAATCATCTTTTACTAGACCATATGCCAAACCTAGACGAAAGATTCAGCCACCTTCATATAGACATAACACTGCTGCCAGAGGTCATACCTCTTACGATATAACAACTGATACTGTGGTTCAGTCATTATGTACAAATGGAATTGCAAGATTTGGTAACCCTGCTATACCCAATTATCATATTGGGACCAAGGCACTCAATTTGAACCAGCTTTATATAAGCCGTTTGCACAGGCAACACGAGCATAAAAAATCTGCACAGCATTCCATTCACAGGCAAATGACCTTGTTGAAAAATGGCATACGACACTGAAAGCAGCATCAAAACTCTCGACTACTGTAATACAACTCAAACTACATGGCTTACGTGCCTCCAGCAGAAATGGTGTATGGAATGTCACTAAGGATAAAACCGTTAAGGGATTTATTTTTCACGCAGAACTTCTATAAAAATCCAGGAAACATCATTGATAAACACAAACAATTTATACGGCGCAGCATTACAAATAAAAAAAAGTTTATGCTCAAGAATCTAGATTTATTTGTAAGATCGGATAATGTTTGATTCATAGAGCCCTAGAGCCTCCATACAGTGAAACACGTAAGATTCTGGGACGGGTAGCGGACAAAATCTAGCAACTGCTCTTAAATGTCACAAAAAGAAATATCCATTGAGAGCTTGAAACTCGCCTACATAACTAAGGCGGACGATTAATTTAATCAACTACACAGAAAAGTGAACCGTATCATAGGCGATTCACCATGCACACTCCAAACAAAGTCTCATTCTAAATATTAAGTATTAAAATAATAATAAATCTTCTGTTCTGTTAGATGCTCAATTCCAATTCAATCTAACTTACGCACGACAGGTCGACAGCTGACACCTTGAAAGTTGCAACTTGCAATCTCTCTGATGGCAAGACACACACATGACGCAAGTGAAGTTGAGCAATAGGCGTCGTAAGCCCCTACTTGTTTATCTATGCCCCTATTCCATAGACCTTATACAATTATAAGGTTACAAGTATAAGGTCTATGCATAGACCTTATACAATACAAATGAAATTGTATAAGGTCTATGGGTCTATGCCCTATTCTTATTTATCTATGATAATTCTTATTTATCTATGGTGGGCAAAAAGTGAAACTCGATGCAAGATAAATGCAAGACTCATAGATAAAAGAAGAGTATGGTAAGACTAGTGGGGCGCATGGCATCGTGCCTTAAGGCAAATGGCCGGAACTTCCCGTACCAAAAATACATATTTTTTTAAAAAGATTAACATTGATGAAAAAAAATTATTTCGAAAAAATTAGATTTTTGAGATACTATAAATTTGACAAAAAATTACTTTTTTTAGAAAAAATTTTTTTTTTTTGAAAAAAAAAATGTTTTCTTTATTTTGACATACTTTGGAAATTCTGCTTAACTGCATAGAGTCGAAATGTCAAAGCGCGTAAACGCCGCGTCGCCGTCTAACGGATAAATATTGGTACGGAACCCATAGGAATGTAAACAAAATTTATACTTATTGTTAAAATCTCTATAAAATATCTGATAATTTAATGTGCATATGTCTAATGATCATTTTTGACCGCCAAATGGCATTTATTTTTAATTTTTCCACTAGATCTCTCAAACTGCTAGACCTGCCTTCATCAAAATTTGATCAATTTTTCAACTTGTCGATACAAATAAAATATTTTTTGAATTTTTAAAATCGGACGCTCCGTTCTCTTAAAAACTGAGTTACCGTTTTCGGCACTTTTTACCCCGTATCATCGGAACGGCTAGACCTGCCTTTGCTAAAAACTAATCAGCACGTCTTCTTATCAATACAAATCAAATGTTTTTTGAATTATTCAAATCAGTTGATCGGTGTTTCCAAAATCGTCGACGAAAATTTGTATCCGCACACACACGCACACACACATACACACATACACACACACACACACACACATACATCCATTTTTTCTACGGTATGCCAAAATATTCAAAAATCTTTGAAACGTAAAGATATATAAAAAATTTCATTTTCATTTTTTTTGCGATTACTATAACTTGCCCTACGGGAAGTTAATAAATTAGAAAAAAATAAGTGGAAACAAAAATTACAACCTATTTCTAAAATAAAATAACTTAAAAATACATGTGTTAGACCATAATTATATATAAACCTTGACAGGCGCCGAAGAATAGATAGAACAAAATCAGGGCAACGAGTTTTACTTAAAATCCGCCAAAGGGGAGTTTGCCTTGCTTGAGTGCTATGTCGACGGCGAAGTAAGGGCTTGCAAGGCCCTTTCGTTTTCAAAAAAAAGTTAAGTTACATAAGCTGCGCATTATAGTTGAACTAATTGATGAGTAAATGAGATTAATGGCTGATCAAATCATGACAAAATGTATACAAATTTTAAATAAAGAGTTTGCGAGCCCCCCTGAAGCCGAGGCCGCTTCATAAATATATATGAAATGTTCATGAAAGGGAGCAGGGAGCATGTATAGGCAAATAATTGTATATTAAAGTAAAATATATACATAATTTTTAACTTTCCGTAGGGTAGTTATAGTAATGGGCCAAAAATCGAAAATTTTTGCATGTCTTCATGTTTTGAAGGTTTCTGAACATTTTGGCATACCTTCAAAAAAAAAATTCTTTTGTATATAGAAAATAATTCAGTTTTTAATTTTAATTCTGAGTAAGTTCTAATATATTTTAAACAAATAATTTCAACTTTGCTATTCAGTTTATATAATTCTTATAAATATTAGACAAATTTACAGTATTTATAATAATCTATTTAAAAACATTTAATATTCTTCAGACATTTTGTTACCGTCCAACAATTTGTCTTAAGGCACGATGCCACACACCACTAGTTTTACAATTATTTGTGCATATGTTATACCTCCACAACAAATATTATTTTAGAAAAATGAAATATTTATTGTTATTAAAATGAATTTATTGCTGATGAGATATTTATTAGAAAAATTTAGAAAACTAATCAGCTTGATTCTTGATTGACATCTCTCGATCAGAGTTTGAATGTTTTAAATCGGTTCAGTTTTTTTGGCTAATTATTTTGCATTTAATTGCTAATTGTTAAGAAATGGATCAGTCGACGGTTACGTAGATCTAATCAAAGCGAGTTTGTATTGAGTTACATCAATTTTCCAATTTTAGTTCAAACGAAAATGTTAACAAAACAAAATTAATAAATCTGATTTTCTGGCAAACATAAACTTCTCCTTCGGGAAGTTAATAAGAGAAAATTGATATAAAAGCGCTGGAAATTCATTGTATATAATGCAAAGATAATCGGTTAAGAACTACTTATTAAATTTCTCCATTTTTTTTTCAATGAATCATGTTAGTATATTAAGCATTAGTAACAATTATCTACTTGGTTCAATGTATGTAGATGCAACATTTGTACCAAATTTTTTTATACATAAATATCACCATTAGTCTACTGGAGCAACTACGTGTTTTATTTTGTATATAGCAATTTTGTATTTTATTTTGTATAGAGCACAAGTGTTTTATTTTGTATATAGCAAAATGTAATAGTATGGAATATTTGTTCACTGATAACATGTGCTATACTAATTATTATTACTGATCATATGATATGTATGTGCTAACCATGTGCTAACTTTCAATTAAAGATTTATGATAACCACTATTTGATGAGATCATAAAAGCCCTAAAATCTTCCATAACCACTAATACACAGTCTTTTTTTTTACATGTTTTATTATTGTTTGATGAATCGGGTTAATTCACATTTAACATGTAACATACAGTAGAACCTAGATATATTAAAACCTAGACATATAGAATGCAACTGGATCTGTAAAGTAGTCATTACTAAATCGAAAAATAATGATTGAAATATTATACATTTATAATTTATTCTATATGAAATATATTTACAACCAAGTTGATTATTTTATATATATATATATATATATATATATATATATATTCAAAGTTATTGTAATTTATTAGGAGTTATGTTGTATATTTAGCAACAAAGATATATAATATGAATTATTAAATTTGATTCTAACATTTAACTATGAAATTTTTGAATATGTTATTTGCATATTGTATTCAATATACAAACATGACTTGCATAATAAATTTCAAAGTATGCATTTATACACATAAGTATTACGTATCTAACAAGTAACTACTAAGTGTATGACACTATCCAACTCACAAGCTTATTAAATGAAAGTAATTATGGCAAGAAATATCAGTTCTTACTAAAACAGTAAAATAATATATACAAATTGTGATGATTATATAACTAAATTGATCTAATGATATCTACATATTTTATCTATAATATTGATGAAATTAACCAGATCATTACCGAACACACATTTTTTTTAGCAATCACAGTTATTTCTATCATGTAGACTCAAATGTAACATATTATTATAAAATAAGAGTTAGTGTTCTGATTAAATATATTTTATTAACATAAAATATGAAAATACTATATGAATTTAAAATAATAAAAGTGGATATTAAAAAGAACACTGTATATACAAATAATTTTATGCACAATTTAATAGTATTTCGAAGTAAATAAAATTTATAGATATGTACAAAATCTCTTAACAAGTTTTATATTAAGAACAGATTTATATGAAGTTTGTATATATTATGTCTTTGAGTATTTCTTAAGAAAAACGTTCATAACTATTTATATAATCTTAACATATTCATAATAATATTCTCTTAAAATTAAATAAAAAACGAATTAAAAACTATTTGTTTGGTGATCATTGATATTAGGCAATAATTTTATATCTTGATAGAACTTATGACTTATTCATATCAAAATAACTCTACGACACTGAGCTATAGCATAACGATTATTTACAAGTTACAATATAATTGCACAGCGATTAAGTAGAATTGACCGACTTTAATTAAACATTAAATTATATCTCGCAGCCATTTCCATAGACAAAATTATCATTTGAGCTTGAAAGAAATATAAAATCTTTTCAATGATTTTTGCAAGCTATGACAATATGGCGAAAGTAGTTTTGGTATGTTGTCAGACAAATTCATTATTTCCTGGTGTAGTTAATGGTTCTTGAGCCTGAAAAGGATAATTTAAATTAATAGACGTATGAGAAATTACATATACACATATATACATATACACACATTATAAATATATAATAAAAATGACTTATTAATTATTGTCATATTCTTTCTCTCTCATTAAACAATTAGATAAAATCCACTGTAACTTACCTAACTATATTATATTTCAAATCCTCATGAATAGCGTGAAATTAAATTACAGTATTAATTTATTGAGAATAGTTCAAAAAATTTAAGTATAACCGATTTCTAAGTAATATCAAGGATCTATATTTAAAATTACAGAAGTAATGTAATGTAAAATTAAAGAATGTTAGCAAATTACTATTACGACGAGCTGATAAAATAAAGAAACGTACAATTCGATTTTGAAAAGAAATCACTACTCTGAAAATATTTTATAATTATTTTGAGCGTACTAATTCATTCGAAATTATATTTTATTAATGTATTAAAAACACTATAAATAAGTTTATTAGAAATTATTATTAGAGCATTATAAAAAGGTAAGAACATACATTTTAAATAGCTCCCTTTATATTAATGTTTATAGTAATTAAATGAAAAATGTAATCTAGAAGTCTAGAGTAAGGTATTCTAAAAAAGCAATACACTTAAAAGGAAAAACTAGATACGAAGAGATATTTATAAAATCAATCTTTGTTTAATGCGTAATTATAATAAAATATATTTATAGTCAATCTGTATAAAAAATTGTATATGTTAATTTCTCAAATCGATTTGGCATAAGACTGCAGTAATTTTTTTAAACAACGGTTAGTTTTCACTACCCTGACCTTGATAGCATATGTGACCAATTTTTGCAATAATTAAGTTATATATTTAATTATAAGAATATATATTTAAGTAGAAATACAGACGGATAAACTTGCAGAATATCTTTGAACTATGAATATCTGAGAGATGTTAAACTTGAACCAAATGTATGTCTTACGCATAAAAAAAGACAGTAGAGAGCAATTTACGTACAAAAAAATAAAGTTATATCAGATTGAAAATCATGACAATGAAAAATTATTTTTTGCAAATAGTAATCTTACCTGGGTAATGAAAAAATGCAATTATTAATAAACTTTGATCCCACTTTTTCATTGAAAAGTAATTAGTCAATCAGGTAGAAACGATTTTGGCACCAGTTTATAATTATATAAAATCACTCCTTAGTCTAATCATTTAATAAGATACTGGCATTTCATCGATTATTATTTTAATATTTTATGAGCTTTAAAACAATAGATATTAACATAGTTAATAATAAAGTCTATTATACGATATTTAAACCTTTACTATTTAATACTGGACGCGGTAACAATTTTGGCACATCAATTACATTTGTATATAAATAGTATATTTAATATATGAGTTTAACATTAAGTTTATGCATTAGCTACAAATAAAGTATTTGTTCTTATAGTTTTCTACATTAAAGTGCAAAATTACAAAGTGGATGTTGTATCATTACGTACATTGCAAAATACTCTATAACTGGATTAATCTGATAGTACTTGAAAATTATAAAAATATTAATAATTCACTTGCGCGTACATTTCTTGCTAAAAAAGACGGCAATACATCTTAAAGTTTGGCCTAAATTATTTAAGTTTTCTTATTCAAATTATGAATTTCAAGGATATTACACATTGTAATTTGTTTAATAAATTTTTAATAAACGCCAAAAGAATGATTAATCTTTATAAAACAACACCACACTGTTTTTATAATAATACTGCAACAAATTCAAATTATCATGTAGGATCGCATCTTCGGGAAAAAATATGATCTCATAAAATAAAGAACGAAAATATTCAAATATATAAATATAAAATTAGTTTCGCGCATTTTATTAAAGTTCTATTGAATTCAATGTTCTAAAAAAGTACAAATATTCTGAAAGTATTTCTTGTTTTTTTTTGGGCGTTGGATAAAACAAGCAGACACATTGCCAACCTCTTCTTAATATAATACGGTCTTTTTTCGAAAATGATTAGATTTGTAATTGTGTATGTTTATATACTTATAAGCATAAGACGTGCAATTTGTGTATTCTATTGCCAATCATAGTTAATTCTATCAAAAACGTTATACTCAATTTGAGAAAGAGATGACGATGAAGTTCTACTCAAAGAGTCGATACGAGATTTACAGGGACTGATGAATTCAAAGAATAGTTATACCGTATGCTATATTTTGCCAATCATTACTTAACTTTTGTAACAAAATCACTGTCCATACAACTAAATTCTGAAAGACTTGTTGTCGCTATCATCAATATCACCTGTACACGAATTTTCCAGGTGTGTAAACCCAAATTTGCATACGTCTTACTCTGGTTAAAATCAAAAACAATGCACACTTTCAAAATATACCAAAAATACATTATCAACTGTTTCCCCGAAGATGATCCAACACATCATTAACAAACCATAATATTATGTATACTGACACGTTTTAGCCCTGGCAAATAAGTTAGTGCAACGTGGTTCTGATAAAATTAATTTTATATTAATATGGATTAGTATGAAATTATCTGATGACGACCTGACACTCGCGCGTCAACGCCCTTACCTCTTCGCAGACGGTGCTCGGGTAGAGCCTCGGTGGTGCGGTGTAGCCGTTCTTCTCTAAACTGAATTGATCCTCGGTGGTCTTGCGGTATACCGGGTTATCGAAGTTCATCGAAGTCACGTTCCTATGAAGATAGTGTCGATACACCAGAAACGCGCACTGAAATACAAAAGCATTCATATATCAGAGCGATTATATTCACTAATAAACCTATAACTAGTGGGGCGCATGGCATCGTGCCTTAAAGCAAATTGCAGGAACTTCCCGTATCAATTATTATTATTTTTTTAAAACGTGTTTAAAAACATTTTTGAAAAAAAAATTACTTCGAAAAAAATAGATTTTTTTAGAAACTATGAATTGGACAAAAAATTCCTTTTTTTAAAAAAAAAAAATGTTTTCTTTATTTTGACATATTTTGGAAGATCTGAACTTTTTTTCAAAGCAATCGTACTGCTTTAACTGCATGAAGACGAAAAATCGAAGCGCGTAAGCGCCGCGCCGCCGTCTAACGGATAAGCATTGGTACGGAACCCATAGGAATGTAAATAAAATTTATACTTATTGTTAAAATGTCTATAAAATATCTGATAATTTGATGTGCATATGTCTAATGATCATTTTTGACCGCCAGATGGCATTTTTTTTTTACTTTTTTCGTTAGATCTCCGAAACCGCTAGACCTGCCTTCATGAAAATTTGATCAGTTCTTCATCTTGTTAATACAAGTAAAATGTTTTTTGAATTATTCAAATCGGACGCTCCGTTCTCTTAAAAACTGAGTTACCGTTTTCGGCACTTTTTGCCCCGTATCTTCGGAACGGCTAGACTTGCTTTCGTCAAAAACTAATCAGCACGTCTCCTTATCAATACGAATGGAATGTTTTTTGAATTATTCAAATCGCTTCATCCGTGTTTCCGAAATCGTCGACGAAAATTTGTATCCGAACACACATACACACGCAGACACATACACACACACATACATCCATTTTTTCTGAGGTATGCCAAAATATTCAGAAACCTCTGAAACGTAAAGATATATAAAAATTTTAATTTTCGATTTTTTTGCGATTACTATAACTTACCCTACGCGAAGTTAATAAACCAGTAAAAATTTACAGAATTCAAATTGAAATTTTTATTAAACCGGATCTAAAGATGATTCTTCCATGTGCAAAGATATTAACAATTTCAAATATAAACTATAGTGATGCTTGGCATTGTGCCTTAAGGCAAATTACCGGAACTTCCCGTTCCGAAAGTTAAAAATTAAAATTAAAAAAAAACTTTCAAATTTTTTGAAAACCGAAAAAAAGACTTTTTTAAATAATCAACATTTTTAATTTTGAAATTTTTTGAAAATTTAGAACTTTTTTTCAGTGCAATCGCCCTGAGTAGCTGTTTTAGAGTAAGTTAGAGTTTAAAATGTCTATAATGTCTTGATATCGACGATTTGATGTTCATATATCTAATAATCATTTATGACCGCCAAATGGCATTTTTTTAATTTCTTTATTGCATTTCTGAAAACGCTGGAGCTTTCCAAAAATTTAATCAGTTGTTCATTTTGTCAATACAAATAATGTTTTTTAAATAATTCAAATCAGACGCTCCGTTATCTCGAGAACTGAATTACCATATTTGGCACTTTTTGCCTTCAAAACGGCTGGACCTGCCTTTGCCAAAAACTTATCAGCACGTCTCCCCATTAATACGAAAATTGAATTATTCAAATCAGTTGATCCGTGTTTCCAAGATCGTTGACAAATATTTGTATCCCCACACAACCACATATTATATTACTGAGTCCGACGTATCCAGACAAAAGATCAGTCTAGGGATGCATAAATGCATTTCTCTCACTATACATTAAAAAAAACTAGTGGTGTGTGGCATCAAGCCTTAAGGCAAATTGCGGAAACGTCCCGTACCATAATGAAATTACTAGTAATTTTCATTATTTATATTTTATAGACAAATTATAGAAACTTGATAATTTGATAATAATTTGAAAGATGACGCTTATATATGTTTACATAAAAAGTAAATGAACAAAATTTAACCAAGCCGAATTAGTATGAAGGATATTAGCTCATATATCAAAAAATTATATAAACTGAATTGCAAACTTAAAATTATTTATTTGAAGTATATAAAAAAATTATGGAAATTAAAAAAAATTGTTTTTAAAATTAGAAAAAAAAAGTTTTTTTGTTTTCCTCAAAAACAATCGTTTCATCCAACCAAGCAAAAGATTTTTTGAATCACTCAAATTTGATGCTTCGTTCTCTCAAAAACTGCTGTTTTAACTCCGTATCTCCAAAACAGCTGGACCTGTCGTTGCCAAAAACTAAGAAGCACGTCTCTCCATTAGTAGGAATCGAATATTTTTTGATTATTCAAATCGGTTAGTCTGTGCGCCCGAAATCGTAGGCAAAAACATTTATCCATACATACATACACACACACCCACATCATTTTTTCTAACAATAAGGTATGCCTTCAGAAATCTTCGAATCGTGAAGATATGCAAATATTTTCAATTTCGATTTTTGGACAATTACATTAACTTACTCTACGGGAAGTTAAAAAAACACACACATACATCCATTTTTTCTAATATGTACCAAAAATGTTTCGAAACGTTAAGGTACATACAAACTTTCATTTTCGATTTTTTTGCGATTACTGTAACTTACTCTACGGGAAGTTAAAAATATTTCTTTTTTAAACTATCAGTTGTCCCAGATTTGGAATAAAAATATGGTCATCGTTGACTCTAATCTACCACTTGTGGAATGCCTGAACGCTTTTAAGGCCGGATTGTTTTTAGACGAATTAGGCAACTTCTAGGAGTTTCTTGAGTCGAAAGGCTCAATTCAATGTGATTTAGGTATTCGGAAAACGGAATGAGGCACTGGATAGTGACGATATCCATCCAGCCTAAGGCAATCGATCTTGGGTCATTAGTTTAACTCAATGTCGACATTTAGAATCGTTTGTAAACAAGATAGATACTGAACATAATAAATATCTTGAACTATAAGTAGCTCGACGTGCAGAAGAAATTGTAAAAGAATATTAGTATCTCATGATTACCATAACGAGTGGCAACCTGAGATCTCAAAAAAGTGAAGATATTGAGCAAACGTTCGTTGTTTCGCATAAGTTTACTCTTCAGAACTACGTCATTCAATTCAAGATGTTCCACTTTATTATATTGTTCGACATTTGCCCACATGATAACTTAACGTCTCGATCACATGTAACACATTTCGTTGCATGAATTCCATTGTAAGTAAACTAATTAATAATATAAGAAGTAATTACCAATGCTACAATAATAGCAACAGCAGTGACGGCAGCTATGACTATTCCAGCGACGACACCACTATCTGAGGCTTCATGCACCAGCGTGCCATCACTTCCAGTGCGGTTTATGACACCATTTGGATAGCCTGTACATAAAAAACAAAGAGTTACAAAATATTGATTTAGAAATGAAAAAATCAAATTAAGAAATGATAATTCCGTATCATTAATTTGTCGCTACTATCATCATCGTACACCATAAATTTGTGCCACTAATTATAGTTTGAAAATAAAGTATTTTAATATATATTTGTAAATTCACAAATCACATCATGTGAAAATATGTATTCGTACGTCTACAGAAACAGTAAGTAATGTAACATGAATCTTGTTATTCAGATAATTTAGAACTATAAATAATATCACGTACAAGTATTGCCGAACACTATTCATATACGAAACGTAGTGTATTATATAAAAATTTATCGTGTGACTGATTTATAAGCCCTTTTACCAATGCTCTAAACAAATGTTTCTCTTCGATAGCAATGTATTGAACGAAGTGTTTTTTTATTCCAATGCAATTCGAAAATAGATAATTTTGTTGGTACAGAACTTTCTGTACTAGATCGATCCTATTAGATGAAATCATGAAATTATTTGAAATAATAGCGTTAATTAAAAATTGTAAAACTGTAAAGCGGAACTATTGCTTTCAAAACGATTGAATATAATTTTATTTTATATATTTATTATAATACAGGGGAAAAACGGACAAAATGCATGGTGTTTTAATTTTTAATATTTGTTTATTTAATTATAACCAGTCTCAATTGTTTTTCACTAATCTGTGGTTTACTGACTATCAGTAAGACAGTATTTCATTTAGTAATAACATATTTATAGAAAAAAATGCAACCCATTACAAAAATCATTTTGTCCATATAGTATGGACAAAATGACATAAGGTAGGAACATACTGAGATGGTAATTTTTAAGAAGGCAGTTCATAAATAAATCGTTTCATCCTCTTTGGCACATTAGCACATGAATCAAGAACCCAAAGGTTAAAAGTCATACATCGTAACCAAATTTCGCTGGGTTCAGATCCGAAAAAGAAAGTTGTGCAACGAATATAAGTCTCTTCATTTTACCGGTGGATCTTTTGATCTGTTTTTAGCAATTAGTTCTTGCATACTTGGAATAGAAGTTAAAAGTCAATTATCTTTACCGAATTTAATTTTTTTCTTGGCCCTGTAATGCTTGCGAAATAGTACTGTTATTTTGTCCATTGTATAAGTAGGTATGTCATTTTGTCCAAAATTGAACAAAAATGAATTATAAATCAAATTTCCACCAAACACCTGATTATTGTAATAAAATTGATTGAAATTAAAAACAAAAAAACAATTCGATAAAAATACCCCAAAAATAAATTTTTCAATGCACAAAACATGTTTCAACTGATTACTTTGCCAATGACGCTCAACATCTGACAAGATTATGGTTACGTATTTCTTCATGTATCATGTTAAAACTACCATACCACTTTGTCCGTATTTTCCCTATACATATACATATATACATATACATATATACATATATATATATATATATATATATATATATACATATATACACGTGTACAGTTATTTTGTGATGAATTTCTCACACCAATTTCAACATCAATTTATGTTTTTACTGCGTGTAAATAGGCGAAATGCAAAAACTATTTTCATTTTTTGCCGAGATTTGATAGTAGATAGAAAGATTTATGTCGAGGATCAGTAATGAAAAAACGGATATAGTTTTTTAAATTGACATTTTTGCGCGGTCCTTTCATTGAGTTTGCGTTATTAGCGTTTTTGCTCTGCAATATGTAATTTATATTAATTATTATTGCAATAAAAAATATGTTTTCAATTATGAAGTAAAAGAAAAATCAATATAAATAATCGTTAGTATTAGTAGTAAGCATAAGAAGCATATTTTATTAAATTTATGAGTTATAAAATAATGCGATTGCTAATAACCAAACACCAGATAACAAATTTATTAAAAAAAATTAAGCTACAACAACCATTGCGTTTATAATTATTAATGAGGTATAAGTTATTTACATTTGTTCTTCACCTACAGAAAAAGAGACTCCTACAATTTTTAATCGAATTTTCATTATCGTTTGCATTTTGAAAGTAAGCGACAGTAGAAGTTAAATGAAACGTTATTATAAATTAACATGTAAAAATTAACTATGCAATAAATTCCATTTAAAAAGTATGAGATTGCTCAAGCAAAATAAGCTCACAATCAGAAAAATGTTCTAGAAAAAGTTACTGCGAAATGAAATTATGTAACATATGCATAAATGAAATTATGTAAAATTGAGTGTTCGTGATTATAATATTTTAAATTTAATACAAACGAACGAGAAACTACAAATTCAGGGTAGTTTTTCTCAAATATTTCTTACGTACTTGTTACTTTGTGCATTGAATTGAAAATTGTTATGCATGATACGAATCAGATGAAATATTAATAATTCATGCGCCTATGTTTAAATAAAAAGCAGAAAAATGCATATTACTAGCCTTTGTGTGATATACCATAAATTGAAGTAGTTAATATCATGCATTATATGTTTCAAAACTAAAATGAAAACAATTATTTGACTATATATAAATTATGAATATTAAAATTAACCAAAACAGAAACGTATTTTAAACTTCAAGACATTATTTAATATCATATGCTAAATAAGCTCAACATTCAGATTTCGCACAATGATGTTAATGAAAGTGAGTAACATAATGATATAATTTTTAATAGATTGATGAAACGCCTTGGCAGTACGCAGTCGGTATCCTGAAAATTCTACAATTTAAATAGATGGTATATAGAAAGAGCATGAACCATTTTTTTAAAAAAAAAAACGGGTTTTATATGCAAGAGCAAGATTGGAAATTACATATGAGATAATGTAGTTATCGCAAAATAAATTGATAAAACGTGAATGATAGGTAAATTAAAATGCAACAAGAATTTGCAATGAAAAATGTAAATTAGTTATTTGAAAAAAACAGCATTCGTTATAAAAAACTAAAAATAAAAAAATGTATTATTTATATATAAATATATAAATATATATACGTAGGGTAGAAGTAGCCAATAAGTCGAAAATAAAATAACTTTGTTAATAACTGCAATTGTATATTGAGAATACATCTCATTTCATTTACAAAATAATTATTATGAATCAATACATTTATAATTCGAAACATAATCAATTCAAAACTATGTTCTTGGAATATATGATCAATTTCGCTGATACTTTGAACACTTTAATTTTATTATTAACTTCCCGTAGGGAAGTTATAGTAATCGCAAAAAACGAAAACAAAATTTTTTATATATCTATGTTTCAAAACCTTCTGAACATTTTGTCATACATTAGAAAAATGGATGTACATGTGGGTACGTTTGTATGTATATGTGTGTGTGTGTGCGTGCGTGCGGATACAAATTTTCGTCGACGATTTCCGGTCATTCGATTCGTATTTATGAGAAGACGTAAATATTCGTATTTATTAGTTTTTGGTAAAGGCACGTCCAGTCCAGCCATTTCTAAAAAAAAAACGAATTTTTTTGCCATACGGGGCAAAAAGGGCAAAAAATGGTTTTTGAGAGCGTCCAATTTAAATGATTCAGGAAACATTATATTCGTATTGACGAAATGAGAATTTGATTAAACTTTTGGAAAGACAAGGCAATAATGATCATTAGACATATGCACGTCAAATCATCAGATATTTTATAGAAATTTAAATAATAAGTACATATTTTGTTTACATTTTTATGGATTCCGTACCAAGGTTTATGCGCTTCGATATTTTGTCTCTAAAACAGTATGTAGCGCGATTCTTTCGAAAGAAAGCTCAAAATTAAGTTAAGCTCAGTATTAAGACCTTATTTATTGTTATTTTATTTTCGACAGCTGGCTGCTAACATTTCGCGAATATGTTTAAATGCGAACAGAAAAATCAAATATAATTTTATTAATAATCATATATAAATAAATATATATATATATATATATATATCGATTATTTAACACATTTATCTAATGAGGAGTCCAGAATTTACTATAGATAAAGAAGTAATAACAAAAAATAACTACACTAGTGTTTTTCTACGTAGAATTTCTACTTTATGATTATTTATGCTTTCACTCCAGGTGTCTTGATAAATTTATAAAGCTGTTCACTCTTTCTATTTCTACCATAATCAAACATGAATACTTACTAGAAGGTACAACAGCATGATGCGGCGTTTGACTGTCATTATTAGAATCAGGTCGCGTCCTATTCGATGCTTTGTTTTTATCGCTTGGAGATACTAAATTTAACATAATATGCAAAAACTTATAAATATGTAAATGTAAATAATATGATGCAATGAGTACTACTTAAAATAATTTGAATAAAAAATATATATTAATCAACATATAATGTATAAATTAATATTAATGGATGTTGGTGCATATTCTTGCGATGTACTGAGAAAATAAGTCCATTTAAATTTAAAGTAAAATTTATCATTTGGAATAGAATTTTTTTACATGCATTCAATATTATATATATTTAAACTTATTTAAACTCAGTACATTTAAATTAATTCCAATAAGCGCCAACCACTTTCACGCTTTCATGCATATATAAGGTGATTATATATAAGGTGATTATATATTTGTTTAAAGATATTAAAAATGACTATGAGGATATTCTACAAAAAATATACATGCATTTTTAATTCCTTAACTGCTTTTTGCACTTCATAATTTTATGTAAAATCGATGTAATAAATTCCTTCAAAAAAAAAAAAAAATACAAAATACTGTTCATGTCAAATTATTGAAGTAATGCAAGTACCACAATTAAGTCGCAATTTTGTTGAAAGTAACATATTTATGCAAAAGCTATTTAAAAACTGTTTCGGAAAGATCGTCCAAATATTTTTTTTTCAAATCCAGTTTTCATCATAAAACATAGAATCATATATATTATATATGATAAACATAATAATCCCTTCAAATCACGTGACAATGTATGATGGACTTTTCATTCTTGAATTCATATGTATATAAAAAAATGGATTACAAAATTGTATAATGATTACCGTCGATAATTTTTTTTTAAAGACAATGCAATAAGAATATTATTAAACTCATACCCGTATCCTCGCCGCACATGAGCCCATCAGGCATTAGTTTCAACCCGGTGGGACACGCGCAGGAGATTCGCGGAGACCTTGCTGTGATCCGTGGAGCAGGAAGACAAAGATGAGAGCAATGACCATTTACTGCTTGGCAATGGTTTTCACCATCGGGCTGTCTGTATGGATGGTATACATGCACCACCATTGGATTTTGTAACTGGAATGCCAAGATTATAATGTAATACGTTTACTTTCTTAGGTTATCGCTCCCTATTATCGTATCATACAAATAATGTGAATACAAGTTTGTCTGAAAAAGTTATATTGAAATTGCAACATTTAAGGTATAGTAGGTACTAGAGATGGGTAACTCACTCTGGAGTTATCACTTTGATGCAACTCCTCCCTCGGAGTGAATCCGAGCGGAGTTGTGTCGGAGATTTTGTCATATCCGACTTTCCTAAACTAGTATTAAATTTGTTAACTCGTGCAAGACATTTGCTTTGGGAAGGAAGCGGTCGCTTTTTCGACTCCCGGGTAGTTTTATGACCTTTTAGGTATACGAGTCAAAATAATGCCATTGTGTATTTTCCAGAAAATACAAAAATATTACTTCAAAGATACAGAACAATAAAATTGCGTTCAAGTGCAAATAGCTCAAATGTATAATTTATTGAATAGGGGTCATATTTCTACCTATGACAATCTTTTGGTCGTATAATCAAATGCATAAAATAGTAATTTTTATAATAATATGAACAGAAATATTTGAACTGTTTGTAAACTATATTCAAATACTTAATAAATCCTTAGAAATATGAATAGTATATTCATTCTTCTCACCATTTGAGTAGCAGTAATCGGTTGAACATCATGCCCATCAAATTTATTCGCTTTGAATACGGCCATCTTGTCCCAGTCGGTCCAATAAATCCAATCTTCAAATGTAGTTATAGAGAAAGGATGTCTTAACGTGTCCGCAGAATAAAGTATCATACGACGATCGGAACCATCGTAATTACAAGATGAAATCACGTTCAGTTTTGCATCCACCTGTAATAATATTAAAAATAAGTAAATTAATAAGTAAATTAACTTCAAAAGCAAAAAATAAAATTGAAAAAATAAAGACTGTAAGGCACACATGCTAATAAAGTATGTATTAAAATAATTCCTTCATAAATTTATTTGGCTATTATTGTGACTTACCCAGTATACACGTTTACGGACCAAGTCCAATGTTAAACCGTTTGGCCATTTCACTTCATAAGATACAATAGTTTGTCTGTGAGAGCCATCCATACCCGCACGTTCAATTTTAGGTTCAGTACCCCAGTCAGTCCAGTACATCCAACTAAAAATTGAAGATTAATAACTATCAATTATCATGCTAAATAATGTACGTAGTTAAAAACAAACAAAACGAATAACGAACATCGACGGTCGATGATCGACCACCAAATAAAAAGAAAATATAATTGACATCATGAAAGTAGAGTGGTAATAATATTTCAAATATTTAACGAATAAAATATTATTTACCAGTCTAATAGAACATCTTTAAATTCATAAATACTTTCAAACTATTCAGCTAATAAGGTTGTAGCAATCAAGAATATATTTTTCTTAAAATTTACGCATCTTAACGGGTATTTCAAATAAAAATACAATTACCCGTCAATTGGATTCAATGCAATAGCACGTGGTTCTTCTAATTCATCTGTTATCAAAACTTTTCGCATATTGCCCTTGAAATTTGCAAGTTCTATTGTGTTCTTGCCCGTATCGGTCCAATAGATATGATTATAAATCCAGTCCACGGCTAACCCATCAGACGTTGTTATTTCGTCCTTGATCACAACTGTTCTTTCCGTTCCTTCATCAATGGGAGCCCTATTAAAACAAATTTTAATAGTAAATACATCTTGTGCTCGACATTAAAAATAAGTTGTAGATTTTAGAAAATTATCCATTTAATAAAAATTTCTAAGTGTGTCTTTATCAATAGATATTAATAGGGTAAAATGCATGTATATGTACTTGTAAATTTTCTGTTCGCTGACATCACTCCAGAATATCATTCCGGTGCGGAAAACGAAATCTAATGCAGTCGCACTTTTTGTATTGTTCACAATGGCTGTCATTTCGTGATGGTCCAGAGATATCTTCCTGATATCGTGTCGGCGAGCGAACAGCAAAGAGGCGTGCCCTTCAGTCGCTTTGCAACGGGTTCTGTCCCGAAGATCACGCATGTATCCATTGATGCATTCGCATTTGAACGAACCCTTCTCGTTAATGCAGGTCTGAGAGCAGGCTCCAGGGTTCTCGCACTCATTTGTATCTGCCAAAAATAAATAAATCAAAGTAAGTGAAAATTGCTGCTCTATTCAAAGTCAACGTACGTCGAAAAAAATATATAAAAGTATATTTTCTCATTTAATATTATCTCTATTTAAATTGTTTATGTGTTCAACTGACTTAACACTTTGTTAGCCTGCTCTTGATTCTTGATCTTGATCTCTATATTTTTACACCAAAAGATTTGGCGGGTCTAATAAGCGAGAGAAGCAGCATTGGACCATAATAAAACGAGTTAACTCGTGACCAGTCAACAAAGTGTTAAGATCGGCATATCAACATTTTTGTCAATCAATGAAATAACGAAGTGCAATAACATCACGTTATTATTCAACTGACCTTCGCAGGTGGTATTGGTTGTTAAATGATATCCAGGAAGACAATCACAGTAATAGCTCGCTGGTGTATCGACACAAGTCTGCGAGCAACCTCCGTTATTGACTGTGCACTCGTTCTGCCCGCATTTTCCTTCTGGTTCATCTTCAGACATGGGACAATCCTGCTTGCCATCACAAACCTTCGACAACGGAATGCAAACGTTGCCGCCGCAATCAAATTGTGTCTTAGGATCGCATCGTGGCACAGGCGTCGCTAAAATATAATAATATAATAAAATCTCATGTTTGGTAGAGAAAGAATTATTTTAATTATCAACTTACTGCAATTGTGTTCATCACTGCCATCAGCACATTCCTGATGGCCATTGCATTGCAGATGACCAGAAATGCAAGTCCTATCTTTGCATTGGAATTGATCAGGTCGGCATGTGATATTGTGGCATCTGAAACAAAATTGTAACGAATTTAATTTAGAAAACCATAGTGTGTACATTGTAAATGTGTAATTATGGAAAGCAACTTGTTTAAAACTTTTCTGGTTTCTATTCCAATAAAATAGGTTGAATTTTTGTTTTGAAGTCTAGTAAGCAAATATTTGAATAGATTTGAGTTCTGCATTGTTTGTCCAATATGTGAACTACTATTAGTTAGAAAGGCTTATGCTAGCATAGCATTAAACTATTTTATATTCCAATATAAAAGTATTTTACATTCAATATGATATGCCGATTACATATGCGTAAAATTACCTTTTTGGGTCCTCGTCATCGCCACCAGGGCAATCTCTATCACCATCGCAAACCCAAGTCTGGTGAATGCATGTGAGGCGATCTTTGCATTCAAACTCCCTCGCTAAACAAGGAGAAACAACTGGTGGAGGATTAGAGCAGCCCTGGATTTAAAAAAAAGGTTTATAAAAAATAGGTTTAATAATTATTATAGTTTCAAACTAACGAAGAAAATAGACACAACATATGTATGATCAAGTTCTACGATAACAAATTTGTAAGCAAAAATAATACTACTGAAAATTAAATACGGTATAAGTTAAATGGAGTTTCAAATCTTAAGCTTAAAATTTATATTCTAATGATTATGTAATTACGACAACCGTGACTAGAAGCTTATCACATTGCTAGAGTTAAAATAAAAAAATATTAAATTAGTCTCAAATAGAATAGCATTATTGTATATATTACGTTTATATACTTTTCTTGTTTTACTTCAATACATTTCGTGTTGGCCCACAACACTAATGGCTACATTAAACGAAACTATTTTCGATTGAGCTTAATTTTCGTGGAAACATTCGATATATGTACGGACAAGATACATCAAGAGAACCCCGGTCAGGTCTCGTAGGTTAATTCAATAAACAGAATCGACTTTCGGTTAAGGAGACAACTACATTAGTATTCTTTTATTCTTTTCTTTATTATAAAAGTTCAGATTTTATCAAGATGTTTATTTTTCAATTTGAAATTAAATTTTGATGCAAGCGCTCAAAATATTTTCGAACATAACCCTCCATTATAGTTAATTATTGTCAGCGAAATTTTGAAAATCGGGAACTAAAATCGTGAATTTAAATTATACCCCATTACATTTCAAATTCTCAAAATTGCAGATATATTTATATGATAAACAGAAACGAAATATCGAAGCGCGTAAACGCCGCGCCGTAGTCTAACGGCTGAACATTATAAATCTTGGTATGGAACCCATAAAATAGAAATATAAACAAAATTTGTATTTCTTATTCAAATATCAGATAATTTGATGTGCATATGACTAATAATCATTTTTGACCGCCAAATGGCATTTTTTTACTTTTTTCATTGTATTTCCGAAGCCGCTGCTGGACCAGCTTTGTCTTCAACAATTTTACCAGATAGCTGTTCATTTCGTCAATACAAGTAAAATGTTTTTTGAATCATTTAAACCGGTTGCTCCATTCTCTCAAAAAACGGAATTACGATATTTGGCACTTTTTGCCCCGTATCTTCGGATGTTCTTTAAATCATTCAAATCGGTTGATCCGTGTTCTCGAAATCGTCGACGAAAAATTAAATTCGCACACACATACACAAACAGACGCGCGCACACATATACATCATTTTTTCTGAAGTATGCCAGTGTTAAAAAGATTTCGAAGCGTATAGATATATAAAAAAAATATATTAGATTTTTTGCGATTACTATAACTTACTCTACGGAAAGTTTTAAAAAAAGAGAAATTTTATATTTTTATCCCACTTCTTTTTTAGATTAACAAATAAAACTACAGACAAATACCGAAGGACATTAAAATATTGCCCAAAAACAAAAGAAGATATGTGTATCAAAGGTTCAAAGACATAAATGTACCATTTACCGTTTGTAAAAGATGATAATGGCTTCTTTAAAGTCAGTCTTTACATAATAAGGACATTGATAAGGGGTAACCTAGCGATTATGTAAGCCTAAGATAGGATGGGCGGGGTTCAGTTAAATCCCATTTAAGCGATGGAAGGCATATATCTAAGACGATCCTTTAGCGAATTTTATTTGTTATGCAAATGATAAAACTAGCGAGTGCCATTATACCTTAAAGAAAATGGATGGAATTCCTTCTATAGTAAATGAAATGAATATTTTGTTGAAAACTTGAAAAAGGTTCTAAAGCCGAAAAAGTTTCATTCCAAATTAAAAACAAGAAAAGATTAAAATGAACAAAATTGAAAAATTGGATTCTTCTAAAATTGTAAGTTACACTATTCAAGAAAATAAAAAAAATATTTTTATAATTAACTTAATAATTAGTTAAGGTCCTCTGCTAATAAATATATTTGATAAAATACCAAATTAAGGTTATATACAGTGTTACCTTTGTAAAAAATGTGCCTATTAAATTTATATTTTGTATTGATTGAATAATTTAGCTTCGTCAAATACCTTTAACATTGAAAATAAGACTGTTTTTCTTCTGGCTATCCAATTTTACCTAAAGGATAAAACGGGACAGATGACAAATTTTAGAAAAATAGTATAGGCACATTTCTATAATTAGGAATTAACTGGGAATTTACTGAATACATGTATAGTTCGATAGTTGTTTGTTTGATACGTGCTATGTGTTATAAATTATAACATATAATGTAGTGCATTATAACTCATAATATAGTACATTTGGGTTAGACAGTACAATTACTTAAAGTCCTTTGTACCCCCCGCCCTACCCTATACATAAATAGCTAGAAACTTAAAAATCTGAAAATTTGATGAGTAAGATTTGATGATTGATTTTATTAGTGGTCATATAGTAATCCCGCATACACTTATTTAGCAATTCAAATTAAATTGCTTAAACTTAAGCTTAAAATTAAGCTATTTATGAGCTTAAAATATTAATTTCACTTTGAGGAAGAAAATTGGGTTAATTTGAATCAACCCACAAATTTGTAAGAAATATAAACGCAATATAGTAAAATATCTGATTTTGTGCGTATATATCAAGCGTACTCATTCTTTGCTCGCCAAGGACCGTTTTAGTAGTTTTTTCTCAGGTGAACTAACCTTAAAAAAAAAACATGTACTCTGCGCATACAAAAATACGCGAAATACGTAGTTAGTCTATATCAATCTAAATTTTGCTCTCTAGAAGAAGAAGCTATCTTATCAATATTTACTAATGAACTAAAGAAAAACGGTCCCAAGTTTATCATCCCAGTGAGTGAGTGGTTAAACCAGCGTTTTCCAATCTGTAGGGCGCGCCCCTTCAGAGGGGCGCCAGGCTGTTCTAATGGGGGCATGTACATCTGTTTCCAAAAGACTATTATCAAAAATAACCCAACATTTTTGAAATGATATTAAAATATAAACAAAAAATAATTAGTTTTTATGCATATTTTACGTAATATTGCATATTAATTTGTAGTCTGATAATATCAGTTGAGTATTTATAAAATTAAACTGTTGAAAAAAATAAGGGGGGATGTGTGCAACATTTTTTTTATTAGAGCAAGGGGCGCGGTGCAAAAAAGGTTGGAAACCACCGGGTTAAACCGAGTATCGGTAAATGAACAAAGTGGCGGAGTTAATTTGCACTCCGATAAAACATCAATTAGGGCCAAAAAACAATAAGTACCTTTGACAAATTTTCAAAGATTAATTTTAAGCACGCAATTTTATACGATTATTGACCTAACCACTTATTCACTGGGATGGCAGAATTAACCCCTTAACTTATAATGACGAGCAGAGCCCGCGAGCGATTGCCAGGCCAAAAGTGAATATTACGGGCATAGCCCGCGTATGATATTCGGGAAAGAAGCAAATATTACGCATTTCGGACATGTCCCGGTATGGTGAACGCAAGTATTATATAATATTTATTCATACAAAACTATTAAACACAAAATTATTTTTATTTTTGTGATAAACCGTACACTATGAGGGAAAATAGTCGCAACGCCGCGCCAACTCGAACAACTTTGGGCTGACATTTTCGAATCTAAATTGTAAGTTAAGAGGTTAATACAAAATAAATAGGCATACCCGCTCGTCGCTGCCATCAGGACAATCCAAATCACCGTCGCACCGCCAGCGGCTGGTGATACAATAGTTCTCGGAGCAGGCAAACTCCGTATCTGGAGCGCAGGTCGCAGGTGGACAGGCGTGCTCATCGCTCCCGTCGCCGCAATCGTCGTCACGATCGCAGACCCAACGCCTCTGCACACATTTGCCGTTGCCGCATGTGAACTCGTCGGAGCGGCAAGTATCATCTAGACGCGTGAAATATACTCTTATGATGAATAGTTTCAGAACTAAGTGTGAATATCGTTCAGATTATACTAGAACATTGTAAACGATTGAAGCAATTTATAAATATAAAATTTGAAACTCACATATATTGATAATTTTCCTTACGTGATACTAACATATTTCAATCATTAATGCTATTCCTGCTTTTTGTTATGATAGTTAACTACAATACTACAAATTCCTAACTTACTATATATTTTTATTCCTAACATAAAAATATGGATAATCTCTATAAAACCAGTGGAAAACAAAACCTTTTGAAACCATCTGCAACAAAATTCCTATCTTTTTTTAAAATCTAGTATTCATTTTAAATTCATCAGATTCCTTTCATTTGTTCGGAGTGAAACATGCCCTATGCACGATTTCTTGCCCACGCCCGTCATCTAAGTTACTATTAGTATAAAAATTTATTATTTTAAATTTTGAAAGTTTTAAATATAAAGATTTAATTCACAACCTATAGATTTAATTCCAGATTTACGATGGTAAAAAAAAAATCCTACCAATATATACAACGGATTTATAAATATGTACATATATATACAGGGTGTCCTAGACCTTGACGTCAAGCCGAAGTGGGTTAATAGTATTGACCTTAACCGCCCTGAAAAAAAATGAAAAAAAAATTATCTCACATTCTTTAGAAATTATGAGCTTTTAAGTGCTACCTAGAGCTTTCGTGAAATTATGACCTTTTTAACATTTAATAGTTAACAGGTTTATTAAGGTTAAACTTTTAATAGTTATCCTGTTAACTTTTAAATTTTGTTCATTTATACTTTAGAACCGTAACCGTGAATAAAAATTTAAAGACCAAAGTAAAAAAAAGCAATTTTTCAAAGTTTTGGGGGAACTTTTTGTTGAACTATAAATTAATTTTTTTCTAGATTGTCTTTGAGAAACCCGCCTTTAAAAAAATGTACTAAAGTGTGTTCGCAAGTTTCATAGAAAGTTGCATAGAATTTAATCAGGATTCAGAATGGTAAAATACCTGATAATTTTATTAGTGAAATATTTTGAGTATAAAAATAAAAACCGAAAAATAACACGATAACGGCTAACTAATTTTCCTCACATTCTGTTCAAATGCTTTGCTCTCGCATATTGGAGTACGTTTGTGCGTGCGACAAACATTTAAACTAATTGTGAGTAAAATATACTGGCAAAAATTTATATACTATTTACGAGAAATTTTTCAATTTTTTCTAGACAGTTAAGGTCAATACTATCATTTCGTTTCGGCTTGACGTCAAGGTTTGGGACACACTGACATAACGCTCGGGCGTTACACCAATAAACGTAACGCCCAATCTATAGAATTCACTTGTCAATTCACATATATATCAACATGAAATTCGAGATTTTATTCGTGCATATATCATAAAATTGCCTATATAAAAAAATAAAATGACAATTCCAGTTATGTTTTTCCTTTCTCAAATCCGTTTTTCCGCTTTTCTCCAATGTTTCGGCTTGGTTATTTTAAGCTATCATTCAGTGGCGAAAAGTAAACTGAATATATTATTGTTCAATACAGAATTTGTTGCTTTTCTCAAAAACAAATCGTGTACATATTATATATATATATATATATATATATATATATATATATTTCAGTATTCAGGGCAATACTTCAATTAAAAACTTGTATGACCTTATAAAATTTTTATTGTTTCCAAACTTTTCGACACTTAGTTTTGTGTCATCTTCAGTGGACTATGTAATTGCAATATTCCTAATTATTTCATAATAATAATTGTTCACAAATGAACAAATAAAAACAATTCTTGTCACTTGTCACGATTTTTTTTTCTAAATTTCTAATATCGCATCGGACAGCGGCTTTGCGACATGTAGTCTACAATAAAAAATTCGTTCTAAAAATTTATATAATTGTTCCGATTTAAAGTGACAAGAATTGTTTTTATTTGTGCATTTCTGAACTATTATTATTATAAAATAATTAGGAATATTACAATTACATAGTCCACTAAAGGTGACACAAAACAATGTGTCGAAACGTATGGGAACAATAAAAATGTTATAAGTTCATACAAGTTTTTAATTGATGTATTGCCCTGAAGACTGAATCTCACATATCTCAACATTAAAATTACTAAAATTAACATATATATATATATATATATATATATATATATATATATATATATATACGAGGTGTGTTCAAAAAGTACCCGGAATTACTAATAATTAAATTTCGCGGGTCTGGAGTGTCTGATTGTCAAATTTTTTTTTTATTGTGTTGGTATACATGCCCCTAAAGTATGATGAAATTTTCAGCTATATTCACTGTTTACTTTGTCTGTGGTAGTCGCTAAGGTTCGACGTGTTTTTCTGAGCTCGGCGATTTTTACAATGGAAGAATTGAAAAGTCAAAGAATTTGTATTAAATTTTGCGTAAAAAATGAAATAAAGTGTTGCAAAGTGCAAAAATTCACCAGATATGGCTCCGTGTGACTTTTTCCTATTCCCAAAGTTGAAGAGACCCATGAAAGGACGGCGGTTTTCCTCGATTGAAGAAAATCGCTGAGAGTGCTCAAGGACATATCAAAAAGTGAATATCAAGGGTGCTTCGAAAATTGGAAAAAACGCTGGCATAAGTGTATTATATCTGGGGGGGACTACTTTGAAGGGGACCACCTTAATGTAGATGAATAAATAAATATTTTTTTGAAAAAACGAAAATTCCGGGTACTTTTTGAACAGACCTCGTATTTATATATATATCGTAGACATAACGTAGCGTGCATGTAACAGCGACCGCATCGTGAATGCTGCGCGTCTGCCGTTTGTATTAAAGCGTACATATTTGAGTAATTAGGTTTTGCACTTGAGAGAGCAGAATGGCCATATATGTGCCAAAACCAAATAGTGGCTATAAATAGAAATATAATACAATTCGAGGTCAGTTACTTACCACTTTTAGACAAGCTCTGTAATGAAATGTTAATTACATTTAAACAAATATGTTTCGGTCCAATTATTTCAATAGTATGTCAATGTATAATACTTGATAAATTTTATTATGTTTCAATTAATAATTATGTTTTCATATAATACTTCATATCTAGCATTATAAAATAATATACGGTCAATATGAATTGATAATAAAGTAATTGCTAGATTAATTTTAACGGGCTTCAAATATATATATATATATATATATATATATATATATATATATATATATTAGGTTATCAATATGAACATCAAGAATTTTTTTTGCACTTATGTATTGAATAGTTTTAATTTTACAGACGTTTCTGGGCTAGATTTGTTTCATCCTCAGTGTAGGGGGCGTCCATTAATCACGTGATCGATTTTTAAGGATTTTAGACCCCCTTTCCCCTTGGTATCAAAATTCCCGCTCCCCCTTGGTGATACTTGTTGACATTCAAAATTACCCCCTCCTTCTTCAAACATCACGTGTATTTTAAGTTACAAGAAAAAATGGTAAAATTAATGTTTTTTTTTTAAAAAAATCAGGCAAAAAATAAATACACATGATATATTTTTATACCCTTCCTCCGCTACGTGATATTTCGTGATTTTTTGTCAAAACCCCCGTCCCCCTAAAAACATCACGTGATTAATGAGCGCCCCCTATTATAATTTCTAATAACTAAAATATGGACACACAAATCCTTGTTATCTGTTGCAAAATCTTCAGCTTACTCTTTGAACATGCGTAAGATGCGTGAGTCATCGAGGACGGATCATGTGATGTATCGTCATTTTGAATATAGGAATAAATAAGAGTTAAAAACTTAATAGTGTATCTATATTTTAGTTATTACCGATTATATTACACTGAGGATGAAACAAACCTAGTCCCGAAATAACTTTTTTCATAAATAAGTGCAAAAAGAGTGCTGTGTGTGCAAATATGCATTTGCAGGAAAGATACACACACATACAATATATATATATACATATATATATATATATATATATATATATATCCTCTATAGTTGTACATAAAGAATAGCTGTATCCAGCTATCCATTGCCGCTTTTAACCATGGCAATGGGAAGCAAGGAACATAGATTTTGAATAAAGGAGCTTCCGTCGATGACAACATGGAGTCGCGAAATATATTCATCATTTGGCTGGTTCCTGAAATGCTTGAGCTCCTTATCATGTTTGGTGATCAGCTATTTTTCTGTGACAACCTTCAGATACTTGTAAGTGAAATAAAACCTATTTGAAGTCACGAAGCGTATACATCGTGATAACTATCGTGCATTCTCAATTTACGCAGCTATCTTCAGTATTTATATGAAGCAGTTGTCTATTTCGATTATTTTCTGTTGCTTGTAATTACGCGCTACAGCAAACATACGCAATGTAACAGACATATTACAATATGAATTAAGTTTTTAGAGAAAAATAGCATTTTTTCATTGTATATAACTGCGATTCTACGGTAACTTTCACCAAATGTGATCATTTTTTCTCATAAGGAGTTGATTGACTTTTGATAATAAATCAATTTCTGTGACTAAATAGAATTAAAATTAAGGGATTTTACCAATTTTTCATATAAAAGCTCTCTATACAACAAATCATGCTAGGCGACTACCATAAAATAATTTTAAACTATACAACATACTGATGTCTTACTCTAGAGGAGAAATACAGGGAACTGAAAGCCGAAGCACAGGTCCAGGAAGCATGGAAACAGAAGTTTGTAAAGGAAAGTTTATAAGAGTGAAAAAAGTTAATAATGGTAATGAGAATAATGGAGAAGGGAAAAGGGAATAATCGATAGGTGGTGCTCTTATACCAAGGACCTGTCTTCGGGCAGACTACTATTTATTATTATTATTACTACACTATATTATTATACTATACTATAATATACAATACTGTACTGTAGTATACAGATATACAAATACACTACCCTGCAAAAGTTTGGACTCACTTAAGAAAATCGGTTTGGACTCACTTATTCATCATTCTCAGACAGTTTAATAAAACAGATTTGTTGAGAATTACATTCAATTTACGAGTTAAAAACATATACATGTGATATTTTTGAATTTTTGTGGAAAAAACGAAAAAAATCAATCAGCCGTTTTCCATCAATATGATGGCCTTTCAATTTGATGATGACCCCATAAATTTTTAGATGATGATGTATCGAGTAAAGTTAATTTAAGTTCAACTAAATAGTTAATGTATTCAAAGTGATAATTTGTAACATTGTACATTTTGCAATATTTCGAAAATTAACACATTTCTGTACAATAAATAAATGAGAATTTAAAATGAACGCTCAAAAATCATTTTTAAAATGCTTTTCAATATCAATACGTACATTCAACTGTCTGAGGAGGACGATAAACAAAGTGACGAAAAAAAAACGATTTTCTCAAGTGAGTCCAAACTTTTGCAGAGCAGTGTAATTACATAAATTGAATACGAATTACGCGTTCAGTAGAAGTCCGAATAACCAATAAAGTTTTAAAGATATAAATACTATCAATCATGCAGTAAAAGAGTTTATAAAATATTACGTTCACTAGTATTGTATGGAATCACAAACTAAAGTAGAGATCGCAAGTTTTCCTTCTATCCACCATTTCTCCGATTTTCATACAGCATGCGAACAAGAAGAAAATATCTAGGGCACATAGTTTTGTATATTATCAATAAAGCCTTATGAAAGATTGCAATTATAAAAAAAACTACATTGACAGTCAAAGAATATTGCACATTCAGTCTACTGAAGTTATAGAGTCGATAAAAGATATCTTGGAAATGACTAAAACGTTTAGGTAAATATTAATGGAAGTAGAAGAACTACTAAAATTATAAGAGAAGACAGATAGCTAAGAAATAGATAAAACTGGATTAAGCAAAAATTTGAAGACATTCAGGCAAATATCTGCTTACTGCAAGCCAATTCGTCGCTGCCATCGCTGCAATCAGGGTTGTCATCACACATCCAATTTAGTGGAACACATTCTCCTGATGATCCACGGCAGGTAAACTCATCACTTGAACAAACTCTTCCTTCTATCGTATGATTGTCCCAATAGCCAAAAATTAAATAAATTATATTTGATGAAAGTAATCACTAAATCGTAGCATTTATAAAGTCAATATTGAGCAGACTAATAAAGTGCTACAGTTGTAAATGAAGACTTTGAGTCAGTTAAGTAAAAATATTTTGATGTTTTTAAAATGTCTACAATTATTTCGCAAACGATATATTGAACATCATATAATTATATATATATATATATATATATATATATATATATATATATATAATAACATGCTACCGTTAACACTGTATTTAATGGGCATTTAAATTTAGTATCTTATTTTATTATAAAACTTCCAACTTCAAAAAAATTAATACCAACACAAATTAATATTAATTATATATTGAATATTTTATAATAGAGATTTCATGAATCTGTATATAATATTACATGTATTTTATGAACTATTAAATTTAATATCCAATTTTATGAGCATTTTAATATTCATTTTCCAAATACTTTATCCCATACCTTTTAAAATTTGAGCCATGAACACAAAAAATAATCACCTCAAAATTTCGAATAAAAGTAGTGTGCACGATAAATGATTAAATTTAAATTTGAACATATGAATGATAAAACATCATTCAAATCGACATCGAACACAAGGTATAATTAAAAATTGATATATTCAACTTAGAAAAACATCTAAGTACAACGCAATATTACTTTTTTGTTGGAAATGTAGAGTTTGTTATTTTAAATCATTTCATTGACAGTTTTTCATCGCTTTATATATATATGTATATATATATACACACATATATATATATATATATATATATATATATATATATATTATAAGATTGAAGAGATTGATGTAATCAAATACGAGCACTAGAGTTTTTTCGTTATTGAAAGCATGAATGACCTATGGAGAAACAATAAAGAGCCTTTCAAAAGAATCTTGAAAAATATTTCGGATTCTTTCATAATTTCATAATATTAGCCGGGTTCTCTCATAACTTTGCGTCCAGAAAGCTCTAGCCACCCTTCGACTCGTATCTTATTATATTTATTTGAATATTTAGAGAGAATGCATAATCCAAATAGTTTTGTTACTATTTTTATTATGCGCATAGATGTGTTTACATGCATTTTTGTCGATTAAAAATTTTATCTCAAAACTTTTTTCTCATTTCTTGGAAAATCTCTTATGAGTTGACATGGTTGAAAAATCGAGAAGTTTTACATATGTTAAGAAATAAAAACATAGTGAAATAATATTAATGATACTTTTACAATATGTACGTATTTTGATTATAGTTGTCATCTGCATATTTCTATTATATAATATATTCACTACATATAACTGACAAGGAGAACTTCAGGTTTACTCTTTCTAATAAAACTTCGCATGATGATATGATTGATAGTCAAAACCCAACAGAATATTATAGGCCTATTTCGAACATATCAATTTTTATTCGCAAAATAAAGGCATCGAATTAATAATTATAAAGATTTTTGCAATATTTAACTCAATAGATAGAACATAAAAATAAACTAAAAAACGTAAAAAATATACGCTGACGGAATTTGAACTCGATAATTTTTAACTCATTGAATACGAGCGCAAAAAGGGAAGCGTCCATTAATCACGTGAGTGATTTCTAGATAAGATTTTCTTTCCAATTTCTAATATGTATGGACCTTCCTCCCGTGATAAGTGGTGATATTTAAAATTGCCCCCCACACAACAACAAGTGTACTTATAGTACCTAGAAAAATCGTAACATTTTTGATTTTTTTTGTTGAAAATTTTCAGATTTTTTCTAAATTGAGGTAAAAAGACTCCCTCCACCCTACGTAAGATTTCATGATTATTTGTCAAACCCCCCTCCCCCTTTAAAGCTCATGTAATTAATAAACGCCCGCAAATTGAAGCATGTGCTTAAACTCTGTATGCGTACACGGTCTATTTTTTCAAAACTTTAATTAATATTTATATCTGAACCACTTCTCATAGGTCAATAATATTTTACAGTATTCAGTTTGACTATCGACTCTGTCACCATGCAAAGTTTCATCATAATCCCAGAAGAGTAAACCTGAGGTTCTCCTTGTAAGTTACACAATACTTGGCCCGCAAACTAGTGGTTGTACATGCACTGGAAGGAAATGATCATACCCTCTCGAAACGCAAGCCGGTCCTTTCCGACACTCGGGCTACGACCACAGCATAAAACGTGCTATACGTGGTTATTTGAGCGAGCTTTTATAGGTTGAACATAAGGAAACATATGCAATATAATAGCAAGATGACTCCTTTGTAGCAAGCATACTATATATATCATAAAAAATAACCATTTACAGCTGTAACAAACTTTTCCTTTAACAAGTGCTATTTTAAAAACCTTAGTAGTGCATGTAATAAGATTTTGACATCGTTTTTATGTGATGATGCCAAACTACATGACTCAAATTTAATTATCTACATATATATAAAAATAAGTCGGGTTTTCCTTCCTGACGAAAAAACTCCAGAACGCACGAAGGTTTTCGCAAGGTTTATAGACAAGAATATTAGTGGTGCATGGTATTGTGTCTTAATGCAAATTGCTGGAACTTCACGCACCGTAATTAAAAATTCGAGTAATAACATTAGTGAGAATTATCAGAATTATGCTTGGTTAAGTCAACGAGTATTTCTTGCCGCAAAAAATAATGATGTACACGCACTGAATTTCACCATTCAATCAAAAATTGCTGGCGATTTGGTGACATACCAATGATTCCGACTGGTCCTCCGTTTGACTTCAAACAATTGCAATTTCCAGTTCGCAATGACAACAAGTCGCTTAGTGTTTGCGGGATACATTTCAAATATTTTATTTAGAAAATCATTATTTTTCACATGGGCAGTTATACGTTGCCTGTTCACGAGTTGGAATACCATCCGCTTTGTTTGTGTTAACGTCAGACCAAAAAATAAAAAATGTGGTTTACCAAAGAGCACTTCAATGAAAATGATAATTTGCGGATTCACTTTCATTTACTTAGAGAAGTTTAACTAAAAAATACTTCATCTTTGTAATCGAAATAAATTCATTACTGTTGTGCAATAAAATCAAATTTTTCCTTTTCAAATATAAAACAAACAAAAAATCTCTTCATCTTTCTCACGAAACTATCTGGTGGCGAAACGGAGTTCGCCGGGTTTGCTAGTTAATAATAATTTCATGATATAATGCGACGATATAGTTCTCTCTAATTCAAACTGTAAATGTGTATTGAAGACTGTATCTATTCCAGCTATGAGCACCTTCAACAAATATAATATATAATTTAGTTAATTAAATATCTTGAGCGACAGACGCCTCTTAGAAATTCCATCTACAAATTGAATTGTTGATTTGCCAATATTCCACATATCATCGCAGATTTCAATAATCTCGATTCCATCAATCTTGAATCATGAATGGCAACATTAATTATTCTCCATCCCATCGTCATGTCATCGTGCCTTTAAATATTTCCTCTATTACGTGTGCTTCAATATTCAGTCAATAAACATTACATGCCTGTCGGAATCCTGATAAATTTCGCATCAATGATAGCTTAAAAATGATTGTAGCATTTAATCCGGATCATATAAAAAAGCATTCTGCGAGGGTACGTTTTTTTAAAATTATTCTGGTTTTAAAATAATTGATAAAAATAAGTCTCGAAAATTCAGTCAATTTTGATACAGTATCATTAGTAAAAATTCAAAATTTTTAATTAGAAAATTTTTCTTCGAGTTTTATCTATAACCCACCCTGAAACAATGTACACAAACTCGTAAAAAGTATGGTATACACTTACAACCCAGAAATGTTAACATTGACGTCTAAAGCAGTATATCAAAGAGCATTAAATTCATGTTGCACATTGTTTTTATTATAGGTAGTTAGAATTTTATTTCAAAATTACTTTCTATAAACACTGACGTGTTTTGAAAGTTTCTTAATATCGTACGAGAAAAACGGATTGCAAACAGAGATAGCAAATTGATAGCTTGAAATATAACAAAACTACTTGAAATATCTAATATTTTCCAATAACAAAGTTGCGGTAATAAGAAATAATCAGCAAAAAAAAGTTCATAACTAGTGGAGCATGGCATCGAGCTTTAAGGCAAATTGCTGAAACTTTCCGTACAGTAATGAAATATTCGAGAAATATCAAATGTTTCTAAACTGATTATTATAAATACTGTAACGTATATATGTTTACATTAAATTTAAAATAAAGGACATTGTCTAATATTTATAAGAATTATATAAACTGAATAGCAAAGTTAAAATTATTTCTTTGAAGTATATTAGTGAGCTTTAGAACTTTAGCCAGAATTAAAATTAAAATCCAAATTTTTTTCGATATTGAAAAAATATTTTTTGGAAATTGGAAAAAAAATTCAAATCAACCGTTTCGTTAATACGAGCAAATAGTTTTTTGAATCATTCAAATCGGATGCTTAGTTCTCTCGAAAACTGCCATTTTTTGCACATTTTGCTCGGTATCTCCAAGACGATTGGACCTGCCTTAGTTAAAAACTAATCACCACTTCTCCTCATTTGTATTTTCTGCACTCTATGCTCCATATATCCGTAACGGCTGGACCTGCCTTTTCTAAAAACTAATCAGCACATCTCCCTATCAATAGAAATCAAATGTTTTTTGAACCATTCAAATCGGTTAATCCGTGCGCCCGAAAACGTGGACGAAAAAATGCGGACATACAAAACACACACACACATCTATTTTTTCTGAGGTATGCCAAAATTTTCAGAAACCTTCAAAACGTGAAGAAATGCAAACATTTTCAATTTCATTTTTCGGCCCATTACTATAACCACCCTACGGGACGTTGAAAAGTTCAAATCACAAATGGTGGATAGAATAAATATAGCTAAAATATTCATATTGGAACCTTGTAATGAGAAATAAAGATTTGAATTGGAAAATAATACTCCAAAAATGTCTTAGAATACAGTAACCGTATCATTACAATGCATGTTAAACAATACAATATTTACATGTATTATCAGAACTTAAATCTTCAATATTTTCTTAAACAAGTCTCGCATATACCAAAGCTCCCTAATAATGCTATGCGATATAAAATTGACCATTAACCATTAACAACTTAATGTATAATAGGCATAATTACACTTTCGTAAACGTGTACTAATGATGTGCAAGTCTATTATTAAAATTTGTACCGAATATGTAAAATACATCTCACTTCACCGAAAGCATCCCTAAATAAATTCCTTGCACAATACAAGAAATTTGAGCAAGAGAGATTGGATTGATCAGCACAGATCCTAATACCTGTCCGCCCTACTAACCCATTTAATCCAACTATTTAAAAGATCAGTTACAGAATAGAATTCTTTTATCTAAAGAATTAGTCATGTCGAGCGTGGTGGTTCAAGGAAGACTCACCGCACTTGAACTCGTCTTCTCCATCAGCGCAATCTGACATGTCATCGCAAATCCAGGATCCTGGTATGCATACGCCACTCCGGCACTTGAATTCTTCCGGGCTGCATTGACGCGTATCTGTTCATCAAAACCAACAAAAAATGTAGAAAATTGAAAATCGATTAACCCCACGATTGTGCATGAACGTGATGTAAGGGCGAATTACCAGAGATATCCAGATGATGGGTTAATAAGCCTTAATGGTTAGAAGGCCGTTAGATTTAATAAATAGATGATTTATTATAATATTAGATATATTATTTGTTAGTTGAATTATTTATCAACACTTTCTGTTATTCCCAATTTCACTGAAATTGTTAACATTCGCATAAATATTAGCTGATGATTATCCAGAAACCGCTGACACATACGCATGCAATTCCATTGCATAAGCATCGTATTACTTAATGATAATAATTGCAAGAATATCTTCAAAAAAAGAAATCTTTAAACAAATTTGTAGTTCTCACGCAATGATTTTCATCAGATTTCCTTGTACAACATAATATGAATTTATAAATCGTTTTAATGGCAATTACACCACACAATATACAAGACAATCAAAAAGAGAATTCGAGACGTTAAAAGGATGAGTAAATCCCAAAGGATTTGTGTCACAAAAACAGATCCTTTCCCCTAATATTTACACAAAACGTTTGTCGCTTTCTGAAGGTAATTGGTGGATAAGCAAAGTGACATACGAGTTCATAGGTCAAATTTTTGCGTAACATCTAAATCTTCTGTTCAAGCAGAAATATCATTCAAAATGTATACAAGAAACCAGAAAATCTCTTTGTCAGAAGAAGAATCATAATTATTTTAAACTAAGATGAAAATGCATATTTGAGAGCATATTAGAAGTCTAGAAATAAGTCCATTTTTAAAGAAACAAATAGGGTAGAGCGGGCTTAAAGGTCCGTGGGTAAAAAGTCCACCACCGATATATCAAAAACGAGTAAAGTTAAGAAATTTTTTTAACAACTATATATGAAAATAGAGGGAAAAAGATGTGTAACCAGCCATAAACTTGATTCTTACGACGTTGCTATCGGGAAATAAAAGGCAATGTTTGAAAACTCATAATAAAAGTGTTTTCTTCTATTGTTAGTTTTTTGGTTGCTTTGCTTAGACTTAATATAATTTTTAAATATACGTTATTTAATTGTTTTATAATATGAATTATTAATTTTAAGTAAAATTCAACAGTTTTTTTTATATGACCTCTATGAAAGCTTACATCTGGATGGTGTAAAAAAGACCGACTTAACCTTCACCCTGGCAAAGGTATAAAAAATAAAAAATAATAAACAAAAAAAAATTAGTTAAAAAAAGCAATTTTATAATAGATAAATTAAAGAAATATTTATTCCAAATCTGCTGATGATTTTTTCTGACGAAATAGCAGATCGAGGTTGTTATGCACAGTGTTATATCTGTAAAAAATGCACTCATGAAATTTATAATTTGCATTGATCGAGTAATTTACCTATTATTTTGTAAAATCCTTTTAAAATTTAAATAAGACATTGAATCTGTTTTCCCCCTGGCCTAATTTATCTCGCCTATGGAGTTAAAAGATTCAGGTTGCAATTACTTAAAAAAAAAAAAACAACAAAAAACACATTTCTACAATGATGAGATTTTCACTGAAAATAGTCAGATAGTTGTTTGTTTGATATGTGTTATTTGCTGGAATATAATTGGTTTGGTTTTCACAATATAATTGCTCAAAGTCAAATGTGATCCTTGTGCCTCGCCCTACTCTATATCTAGATACAAAAATCTCTTGATCAGTCAAACAAATGTCCCGTTCTGTGCCAAAGAAGCAATTGTCGCCATTTCTAGGTTTACTTTGTTAAAAATCATAATTTTTAATGCAACAACAATTGAAAACTGTATTTAACTTCAAGTTGTTGTATATCGCAAAGTCGCTTGTGTATTTGTTATTTATATCTGTAGTAAAATTCTTATTATTATTGTTCATTATTATATTGCTTTAAGGACTTCTGTCATAGGTATGATTTCTTTTCATTTTGACTATTGAATCAATTACATTTGGGTTATATTTTAAGCTACAATGCGTAATTTTTTTGTAGAGAATCTTCACATAACAATTGAGAATTAGTTCAGTTTAGAATCTTGTTACTTGGGATGCACATAAAAGAAAATAAGAGCCGAAGAATTTTTTTTATCAAACCCTCTTAAAAGAAAATCATTCTGTAAAATAATATAACTTGAAAACAAAAATCATGAAGCATCCCCCATATTGTACTGATCTTGAGCCAACTGATTACCATTTATTTCGCAGTTTATACTATTTTTATGATACGACATCCACTAATGATGATGATCTGTATTCGCACATAGTTCAGGTTTTTTTCTGATAAAAATCAGAAGTTCTGTGAGCAAGGAATCATATAGTCGCCAGAAAAATAAAATGGTAAGTTTAAGCAAACTGAAAAATGAATGATTAAAATTTATTCTGTCTATAAAATACATAGTGTTATTATAACACTTGGCCGGTCCTGGGCTACTCAGCGCCCGCATGCAAATTTTTTTTTAGCGCTCCCCCCCTATTATTTTAAATTCTTGAATAGCTTATTATTAAAATTATATAAACATTTACATAAACTTTTTAAAATAATTTTTATTAAATATGGATTTTTTATACAAAAAAATGGATATCTATAATCTAAATGCGCATAAAGTACATTGATTTTAAAATTATTTAAAAGATCAAGGCGATTTGCGGGCGCTCATAATCAAATTGTAGTTCCTTCTATCGTTGTCGCACTAAAGAAGTATTTTTAAATTCTTATTTTCAATCAATTTGAAAAAACTATATTATAAATTTCATATCCGAATCTCCTTTTGGCGCCCCCTAGGACGTGCGCCCGCATTTTTTGCATGCATCACACTATTAAATAGCAATCTTTCTCTACTTTAAGAGGTTTAAATTTAACATTATAGCTAATTTACTCGATAGTAACTGCAAATTCGTCAATCTTCTATGGAGATGGTTAAATTCAGCATAAGCTGCAAAATAATGTCGCTGAAAATTATCACGATCGTAATCTGTGATGTTTGTTTTTATTATTCTTGCTGTTTTTGCAATTTTACCGCCGTCTGGATGCAGATTACGTTGTTTGTTTTGAAATTAAAATTGCAAAATTAGCTCTAACAGATGATACAAATTTCTCGGTCTTAAAAATAAATAAATTCAATTACCATTACACTTAATAATTCATCAGCTACTGGATGAACTTGAATTCAGATAAATAATCATGATAGTTAATAACACAGGCCCAGATTGATGTATTTTACAAAAAAAAAGCTTATTAGATCATGTAAGTGGATACTCAATAGTCATTTAAGTTAGAAAAGGCCAAGAAATGACAAAAATTATGAGATTATAAATAATGCAAAAATACTAGATCGGAGATTTTGTCGTTTTTTAATATTTTTCAATTTTTCGCAATGTGACCCCCCAATTCGAGTTGACTGTATTGGAAAACATATGGACCTATGTATGTAATCATTGTTTTCTTACAGTTTACTAATGCGTTTTACCGATAATGATGAACACTTAAATATAAGACATCTGATATTTAAGCCAAATATTTTAATTTTAATTGCTTTTAGAACAGAGATCTATAAAAACTATTGTGATGATACTTCGCCCCAACGTTGCTTGGTAGAAGGCAACTCAGTGGTTGCCCTATTTATTTGTATGTTTTATGTCAGAAAGTAACCCAATAGTTGTTTTATTTAATATCGATATATTTTTAATTTATTGCAGAAATGCCGGATAGGACTATGCTCAATCGGAAACATACGATCTATATTTTCAAGTGAAATGGATATCATTACTGTTCGACGTCAGATTGTATAAAATGCGAATTTTCCGCGACATTATGAACACGATTTTAATTATTAACCATTAATTATAGAAAATAACCGTAAGATATATATGTACAATGTATACTTTTCATCTCATTGTAGCGATTTCAAAAGCACTGTTTGCCCCAATAAAAAACTTCTTATACCATGTTTGCCGAGAACATTTATATGAAACAGCATTTCTGAAGCTGTACAAAAAGGATTCATTATAGTAGAATAAGACTTATGACATGAACATAAAAGATTCAGCAAAAACAACGATCAAATTATGGTAATGGTCCGCAATAATTTATATAAAGCATATTGTATCTTCAAAAGAATACGTGCCAAAGGACTTTACTTAACGTACCAAACTATACCAAATTCGATAATGCTTTATTTTAATTTATTGATTATTAAAAACTACATATTTTCTTCTTTATTACAATTTATTATTATCATTTATAATTTCATACCACGTGCGTGCAACTTCGTAAGCAAAAAAAATTAGTCAAGTGCGAGTTCAAGCGCATTATTAAATTGCATAACATAAAACGCATGGATGATAATGATAAGGAAATCAAACATTGCGCTAAATTAATTAGTTGCCAATAACAGTTTTGCGCAATTGCATATCATCAGAATTTGCTGCTTTGGAAACCTCAGCAAAAAATTCCTCGCACAATTTCGGAGAAGTTGACCAACAAATAGAGAGATATAAAACATCCACAAGCTAATTTTTAGGTTTGAAATTATGCTTTCTCTGATGAGGTAAAAGATAATTTTAAAACGTTTTAGGTTACAGAAATTTAAAATGTTATACTTCACGCCAATAATTTTTCTGCATGAGAGACTTTGGATATTGGTCTCTTAAAATTGGTAATTCAAATATATCAATAGAAGTTGATTGAAAAATACTATTATGATATATAACATATAGTACTCTAGTCTAAAATTAAACTAGTTAAAAGTGGCATTTAGCCTTAAGGCAAGGTGCATGAACTTCGCAAAATGTGTAAGAATTGACTTCATCAATCGAAATTGAAATTTATATATTTAAATATAATTTTCAACTGTTTGTTTCAAAAATAAAGTTATCGCTTTCAATTAAATCTGAACATTGCGATTTCGAATAGAATTTTCTCGAATACATTTAAATTAATTGTAATTATACTAATTATATTGCATTGACACATGCT